ACTGGAGGTCAGGGGAGGACATTTTCCTGGGAAAAGGAAAGGGGATTTCACTTGGCACTGAACTGTCCATGTGTGGGAGGGACGAAAAGGAGGGGAACTAAGCATATAGCAGGATTAAAACTTGAAGAAGGTGGGACAGTGGTCAGGGAGGACTTTATAATGTTCTCATACTGACTTCATTTCAATGCCTGGAACAGAGATGCAAAGACAGTCTCATCTCTCATGATAAATAAGAAATCAGGAGCCCTGGCTGGTGTAGCTCAGTGGATTGAGCATGGGCCTGTGAAGCAAAGGGTCGCCGGTCCAATTCCCAGTCAGGGCACATGCCTGGGTTGCAGGGCAGGTCCCCAGTAGGGGACACATGAGAGGCAACCACACATTGATGTTTCTCTCCCATCTTTTTTCTTTTTTCTTCCCTTCCCCTCTCTCTAAAAACAAATAAATAAATAAAATATTAAAAAACGTCTCAATGGGATTGTTTACTACCAGTGTGGGATTTATTCACTACCAAATCACGAATTGCTAATACCTTTGGGTAGCTTTACCCAGCAGCAGAGATACCTTGAATTGCTTCTCTAAGTGTCCTGCCCATCCCCATGAAGTCGGAAAGCAGGTTAATCCATCTGAGGAAATTCTGTGTGTGCTGAGGTGGGGAGAGCACGGGGTGGGGAAACAGCACGTGTAGCGTGACTCTATTCCATGTAAACAGTCTCAACTGGGCCTCACCTCTCTGGCATCAGCCTCAGCATTGGCAGGGAGATGACATGGTACTCTTTTGGGAGGGAGGAATGGTTTATGGATGAGGTTAAGTATCTAGGTACTTGCTGCCCAAAGTATTTTGGTGGTGCCAAGAGAATCTGTCTTGAAACTAGAAGCAGAGAGTTTCTGAGAGTCTACAAATTACTCCTGAAAAATCGGCAAAGTTTATTCCACTGTCCTTTCATGGCATGTGATAGAAAGGGCTGTATCTTTAAAGATGGTTTAGTTGTCTGGGCAACAGCAAAGGAGCCTGGGCGAGAGAGCAAAGGGAGAAAGTGAAAACATCCACTGGGCTACTTTGAGAGGTTTAAAAGCCCCTTTCATTAAAGTTCTTCTGGGCCTGACTGTAAGCAGGGACTTGGGAGGGTGCAATCAGAATCCTTTCCTCTTCGGACCGTTCTGTCCTTGGTTGTGAGGATGAGATAAATGGTGATCTACCAGGCACGTGGAAAAGAATTATACTAGTTCGATGGGCTGGCAAAGCCTTAATCTTTGAGGCTAGGATTTTGGTAGGTAATACATTTATTTTTATAACCTTAGCCTAGGTCCTTTCTATTCTAAGATGATATTTTACCCTTCTGATATTTCCTGCCCTTCTTATCCTACCTATGAAATGTGCAGACTCACTTTTAAAAGAGAGTAAAGGATAATAGAGCTGAAAATTAAAGAGACCGTAGGAAATACCACCTCAGTTTCTTCTGCAAAAATAATGGCACTCTACTCTGTAAGCTTTAAGTTTCCTCTGGACTCGGGAGAGTCTACTTTTGTAAAACCTAAATTTAAAAAGTACTTGCTAAAAGATCTGTCAGTGCCAGGACTCAAGGCAAAGACCAGGAAGTCTCGTGAGTGTCCACGTGGACTCCAAAGGTGAGGACCTTCTCAGCTGGGTCAGTCCTGCACATGACACCAAACTGGATCAAGTTAATATCTGAGCTCCTGCCTTTTCCTGTGTCCTCATGTGTTGCTTTCCTACCCAAGGTATTCGGCAAAATGATTGTTTTTGCTTCTGTTTAATAATAAGTAAAGCAAATGCTGATAAGGATTTATGATATAAGTCTTCCTGGAGAATGTTTTCTAACTTCTGACTTTGCAGTAATTCTAGACTCCCAAAAAGTTGCAAAAATAGTGGAGAGGTTCCATATACCCACTACCCAGCTTCATCTAATGCTAGAACCTTGCACAATCACGGTACATTTTCAAAACTAGGAAATTAATATTGGCATAGTACAGCTAACTAGACTATAGAGAGAGGAAGTTTTTAAAAATTCTGATGCTAGGATGTATTTATTGATTTGAAAGAGACAGGAAGAGAGACAGAGAGAGAAAGAAGCATTGATATGAGAGAAAAACATCAATCAGCTGCCTGTTGCCCACACCCTGACTGGGGATTGAACCCACAACCTAGGTATGTGCTCTGACCAGAGATCGAACCCACAAACTTCTGGTGATGACACTTCACATAGCTGAGTCACCCAGCCAGGGAGAGGAATTTTTTAAGAATGAAAATTCCTCAAGGTTAAAAGAAAACCTTTTCTGATCTGAACAGTGCCCCTCGCCGGTACACTTGTGTCACTATTTGGTAATCCTAGATTTACTTCTGTCTCCGCCACTCTGCCCCTTCAGAAGAAGAAACATGCCATAGTCACCCCTTAGTCCTATTGCTTATTAGAGTACCTGGAATGCCACAAGTATTTTTAGTTAAAAGGGTAACTAATAATTGTCTAAGTTTATTATGTACTTTGTGTCTTTAAAGTCCTTTTATACACTTCTACTGAGTATTTTCATGGTCTAGAGGAAAAGGCACAGAGTTTGAAAGCATTCAGACCCTGGCATTTATTAGCCTGAGACTTATGACAAGATACTGAACGTCCTTGGGCTTGCTTTCCTCCTGTGCCTAATTGTATCTGCATAATAGAGTTGTTTTGAAGATTCAGGGAGGTAATTCATGTAATAAAAAAAGCAAACGTAAGGGATCTGGGAGGAAGATAGGGCAGAAGATTTTGTTGCCATTTTACAAAATAAGGCTCAGAGTGGATGTCATTGTTAAAAATCACAGAGCCAGCACATGATAGTGCTGCTAAGCATCTTAGGTCAGCTGTCTCCCATGACAACTGTTCCCAGGCAACAGGAAGGTGAATGAACAAACAACTACAAAAACAACAACCACCGGGCTACGGAGATTAAGACTTTGTCCACGTGTCATAGTTGACTTCTTTTGCTACATGTATAGGAAATCCTCTCTTATGTGGAGTTGGGTGATGAGATCAACCAAGAGGTAAGTCATGAGTGTAAATTACTCTTTTTGGGGTCCCTGTCAAATGCCCCTCCATGCCACCCATCCAGTAGACACTAATATAGCCAGGAATCTTTCCTGCCAACTCAGCGTCAGCTGTTTATGTACTCATGCTCTGGAGAAGGCATAGAAAGACTTGGAGCTCTCAAACATTCTCATTGCATCATAAAAAACATCTTATTTATTTATTTTTAAGATTTTATTTAATTAGTTTTAGAGACAGGGAAAGAAAGGGAGAAAGAAAGGGAGAGAAACATCAATGTGAGAGAGAAACATCAATAGGTTGCCTCTCTCGTCGGTTACTTCTTGTACACACTGCAACTAGGCATTGAACCTGCAACTCAGGCATGTACCCTGAACTGGGAATCGAACTTGCCATCTTTCGTTTTGTGGGACAATGCCCAACCAATGAAATCACACTGGTCTTAGGGCATTATAAAAACATTGAAAAAAGTTGGAGAGCTTTGACATCATCATCATCATTAACTATTTTCTATTTCTGGTCACAAAAATAATTTTTATTTACAAAAGAGAATACGTAAGCATGGAATTTTTTTACTAACCTGAAATGACTGGTAGCTCATTTTCCTAACTTGCTTCTTAAACTTCCCTAACATGTTTTACATATGTAACTGAGTTTCTCATGCTAGTATGCCTATTTTTGAAGTATTCCTTTGGTTTGTGTGATCTATTCATTTTACTGAAATGGAATAGGAGATGGCAGAATATGTTATTAACTTATGAGGATGTGGGTAGCAAATCACAGAAGCTCTGATAGCTTAAACACTTGGTTTCTAATTAGAAACATTCAATTTCTGGTGGGGTTTGCAATGGGATCCCTCTTTTCTAATGGGGATGGCTGTAATCAATATCAGAGGTGGAGAAAGACAGGAAATAGAACGTTTCTCCAGCATTCTGAGTAATTTTTCTATTTTGATGCTCCCATCTTTGGCCATTAAAGTGAGATGTACTAGAGGTCAGGAGAAGAGAAAGAGGGGAAAAAAAGCTGTTTGGTGTAGCACGCCGTCAGAATTGGGAGAGTTCAGGATGAAATTTCCTCTGAGCTATTCCTCAATAGAATGGCCTCATGTAAACAAACTTTTAAGAGCCAGGGGGATATAAACATGCTTATGAATTCTAAATTTGTTAAACTGTAATCATTTCTGGCGTCATAAGGTAGTAAAGCTACCCAGAAAGTTTTCTTTCTTGATTCACTTTGACTTGTTATTACCCAAGAAACAAAAGCATTTTATTTCTATTTACATAACATAATTTAACTAGGCTTTCCTGCAGAATGACTCTTTCCCTTGATTAAAAATATTCTGAAAAATAAACCATGGCATGTACAGAGAAAGCAAAAATTGTCATTATACCAAAGGTAAAATGTGGGCTCTTTGAATGTCTGAGTTTTTTCATTGCTTTGTGCTTTCCCTTATTTTTCTTTTCAAGAACAGTGAGAAACCTTGCAAATTAAAAAAAAAGAGTTTTAAGATTGTATATCCTCCTGGGAAGACACACCTATGATAGCAAGTGGCAAAGGACTAAGGCACGAAGCATTACAATTACACAAAAACCGGAAAAAAATGTAAAGACTGCCCAGGATATTTCAATGGGCAAATTCTTTGACCCAAATATCTTTAAAGACTACACCTCTTGAAATACTATTAAGTTACTTATAAGATCCTCGTCAACATCAGTTAAATTCGTTGCTACGAAACATAGATTTATATAGCATGATAATCTTGCCTAACTACTGACTGACAGTATTTTTCAGTTTTTAATAGAAATATCAGAAATGTATTAAGAAGAATAATTCTGAAGGGAGCTATAATTTTGTCAGAAAAAGCATTTTTATCTTAAAAGCATAAACATAAGTAATGAGCAGCTGTACTTGTGATAATTTCATAAAGTACTACGGTATTTGAAATTAAATGCTGAGCATACTTACAATATTTTCCAAAAATCAAGAGGTACAAGAAGACAGGACCAGATGTCATCTCTTTCTTTCTGAGCAACTGATCCAGAAAAGTGGACACAATTTAATCTGAGTTTCTGGGTTGCTCGCATACAGCTCTCGGTGGTGGTGTGCTATTTCTGGCTGCAATCTTAGCAGCTATAAAGCAGTCCTCTCTCTCCTTTCTCTCTTGTTTCCTCTCTCTCTCTTCTTTTTTCCTTTTCTCTCTCTCTCTCACATGTACACACATACACACACACACACACACACACACACACACACACACAGAATCTCTTCTTCCCACCCTCTTTCTCAAAAAGCCCTAGTATCCTTCTGATACCCCCACCCTGTACCACACACACCCATGTGAACACAAAGCTGAACGGGGAGGAAAAGTTTCAGAACATACAGGCTCTTCTTGATGCTAAACATCTTGTTTCTATGTCCTGGGATGTCTACAAATGAGGGTGTGTACGGACACTGACAAATGTTGGAACTAATCAAAGTCACGCTGCCGGAAAGAAATTGAGCTAGAGATATATTGCAAACAAAAAATACATTTTTTCTTCTATGACTTGAAACTAGAAAAAGAACAGAACAAAAACATGGCAAAATATCCTTGTGAAATTAACTATAAGGCAAGAATTAAAGTGTAAGTACATCAATGTTTTATGGTCTGACAAGGCATTTGAATGATAAGATATTGTTTCAATAAATACAAAGGAATAAAAAACAAATTAAAAATTTTCTTGAGCTCACGAATTTTACCACTGCAGAGATCATGACCTGTTCCTGGTTGAGGAGGAAAGCCTCCCTGGTTTGAGTCATAGTCTGTTACTTTGGAGTTGTTAGTTGCATACTCTTGGCTGGGCTTTGGCTTTCTGCAGCGAGATAGCTCTGTAGCCACGTTCTTGTGATCATCAGTGTAATGCATACTCAATGTCTGACATAGGACCACCTCGCATACAACAGGTGATTCCTAAATGGCAGCCATTCTATGATGATGATTTTTATTATTTTTATCAATGGGTAAAAGAGCATACAGATGCGAACAACATTTCCATGAAATGCATTTTCGTTTAACCAGGGCACATCCTTCTTATTTTGAGAAATTTGTGATTTTAATGGCTTCCCACCACTCTATATGTAGGGCCTATTTAAATTACATGTCTTTATAGCATTGATTTCAACATAAGAAGCCTATTTCTAAATGGTGGCTAAAAGGTTATATTAACACCACTTTTTTTTCTTTTTTCCTGTGGAGGTAATTAATAGCATGAAAAGAGAAATGATATAGAAGAATCTTCACAAGTCCTTCTTCATTTATCAGTGGATTTATTTCATGAAGACACCATTCTTTTGGCAGAAATGTTTATGGTTAGCTGAATTTGAATGCTCATTTGATGTTTATAACAAGTATTCATTAAGTATTTTTATAATAATACTTGAAATGTTTTGAGTAGTTACTTTATATTCATTTTGGAAATGGAGTTTCCTGGAAGGACACCTGTGGGACATGTTAAGGATGATATCTGAAGGGAAATGCTTAAAAAGTTTCTCAAGAGCAAAGCTGAAAAACTTGCTTTGTGAATTTTATGTCATAAACTAATTGTTACAGAGTTTTCAAAGTAACTCTAATGTTATTTTGTTAGTTTTGAACATTTTGACTGAACTGATATCACAGATATATATAATTAGTGGACAAGTAGACAGGAAGTGCTCTTTAACAATACATGAGATCTGTCTGGAAAGAGTCCAACCATTGTTAATATAACGAGAACAGTTTGCATGACATTGATGTAAACTGGCAGCCAAGGAGAGTGGACTGGAATGCACATGTGTGAACAATGATGACTTCACTGTACTAGTCAGTGGGGGCAGTAGACACCAGTTGAGTGAGCATGTGTACTGTGTGGCCATCGCATTCAAAATGACTGAGTGAGCAGAGCAATGAATCTGCATCAATTTTTGTGTTAAGCTTGAACATTCCTCTGTGGAAACTATTTGGATGACTCAGAAGGCTGCAGCTATGGTAGCTAGTGATTGGCAGATTTATCACAACAATGTGTCCACTCATGCATCATGTCTTTGTGCAGAGTTTTTTGGAAAAATTTCAAATCACCCAGGTGACTCAGCTCCCTAACAGTCACCCTGTGACTTCTGGCTTTTCTTAAAACTAAAATCACATTTTTAAAGGGAAGAGATTTCAGATTGCTGATGAGATTCAGGAAAATACAACAGGGCAGATGATGGCAATTGGGAGAACTGTGTGAGGTCCCAAGGTGCTTACTCTGAAGAGGATGGAGGCATCATTGTCCTATATACAATGTTTCTTGTATCTTGTATCTTCTTCAATAAATGTCTCTATTTTTCATAGTGCATGGCTGGATACTTTCTGAACATGAACTCATTTTTAATCTCAAATTATCAGTGCAAAACTTCAAAATAATATCTCATTTCACTTAGACTATATTAGATTTGCTAAAATAGATATTTATTTAAAGGAACAATTTTAGACATTTTCTTAAGGATAGCAATTTGTCCTTATTTTCAGCAAATACAGTCAACCTGGAATATTAGTTTTATATAGGTATATTGGTGGAAGAACCCCAGGAGTGAATGAATATAGAGTACTCCTACCATATATCATAGCAGGTACTTTGGTATTTTGGACAAGATAATTTTTTTAAAGTTATTTATTTATTTTTGGAGAGGAGAAAGAAGGGAGAAAGAGAGCGAGAGAAACATCAATGTGTGGTTGCCTCTCGCATGCCCCCTCTACAGGGGACCTGGCCTGCAACCCAGACATGTGCCCTGACTGAGAATCAAACTGGTGACCCTTTGATTTGCAGGCCAGCACTCAATCCACTGAGCCATACCAGACAGGGCAGACAAGAGGACTTTTTAAAAAATGATTTTTATTTTAAAATTAGAGTTGACATACAATATTGTATTAGTTTCAGATGTGAAACATAGTGATTAGACATTTATATATTAATAATTTCTGAAGTGACCATCCTGATAAATCAATCACCTGACACCAAAAACTGTTGTAAGAAAATGTTTAGATCGTGAGGTGTGATCCTTTGCATTGTAGGATATTTAGCAGCATTGCTGGCCCCTACCCACTAGATGTCAATAGCACTCGCCAGTTGCAACAATTGAAAAAATGTTTCCAGATTTTGGTAAATGACCCCGGCGGGGCAAACTTACTCCTGACTGAGAACAACTGCATTCTAACAAAAGACTTCCCTGAACAATGCTTAAGTATTGATTTTTAGCAGATAATTAAAATAGAATCCTTCTAAGCCCTGAGTGGGAAGCTCAGTTGGATGAAGCGTCACCCCTATATGCTAAGGTTGCAGGTTTGATCCCCAATCAAGGCACATACAAGTGCCTTGAATGGGTAGAATAACAAGTTAATTTTTTTCTCTCTCCCTTCCTCTGTCTCTAAAATCAACAACAAAAAAAGAGTTCTTCTTACCTAAAAATCTGAATTAAAGTGTTTTCTCATTTTCTGGTCCTGCAGTTTAAAGACAAATATTAAAGAGTTTTAAAAACAAACAGATGGTACATGTTTCTAGCCTTCTCTCCTTCTTTCCATTGTTCAATTATAAACTTGCACTCTGGGTCTGACGGAATCTGTGATGTCATTGCCTCTGTTTGGCTGAGTACCTCAGGATTCCTACCCTAGATTTGGTGCAGACTCTGACTAATGGAGCTTGACCCCTTTTCTTATCTTGGTACCTCTTTTTCTTTTTTAGACATTTTTTTTATTGATTATGCCATTACAGTTGTTCTATTTCCCCCCTTCTGTTCCCCTCCACCCTGCACACCCCTCCCCCACCATTCCCCCCTTTAGTTCATGAACACGTGTCTCAAGTTCTTTAGATTCTATATTTCCCCTACTATTCTTAACCTCCCCCCTATCTATTTTCTACCTACCATCTATGTTACTTATTTTTTGTACCTTCTCCCCCCTTCTCCTTCTCCCACTCCCCTGTTGCTAATCTTCCACGTGATCTTCATTTCTATGGTTCTGCTCCTGATCTAGCTGTCCTCTTCATTTGCTTTTGTTTTAGGTGTGGTTGCTGATAACTGTGAGTTTGCTGTCCTTTCACTGTTCATCTTTTTTAACTTCTTTTTCTTAGGTAAGTCCCTTTAACATTTCATATAATAAGGGCTTGATGATGAACTCCTTGAATTTGGTCTTATCTGAGAAGCACTTTATCTGTCCTTCCATTCTAAATGAAAACTTTGCTGGATAGATCAATCTTGGTTGTAGGTCTTTGGTTTTCATGACTTGGAATATCTCTTTCCAGCCCCTTCTTGCCTGTAAGGTCTCTTTTGAGAAATCCGCTGACAGTCTGATGGGAACTCCTTTGTAGGTGACAGTCCCCTTATCTCTTGCTGCTTCTAGGATTGTCTCCTTCATTTGAATCTTGGCTAATATAATGATGATGTGCCTTGGTGTGTTTCTTCTTGGGTCCAACTTCTTTGGGACTCTCTGAGCTTCCTGGATTTCCTGGAAGTCTATTTCCTTTGCCAGATTGGGGAAGTTCTCCTTAATTATTTGTTCAAATAAGTTTTCCACTCGTGGCTGTTCCTCTTCCCCTTCTGGTACCCCTATAATTCAGATGTTGGAACGTTTAAAGATGTCCTGGAGGTTCCTAAGCCTCTCCTCATTTTTTTGAATTCTTGTTTCTTCATTCCTTTCTGTTTGGTCATTTTTCCTTCCTTCTGGTCTACTCTCTTGATTTGAGTCCCAATGTCCTTTCCATTACTGCTGGTTTCCTGTGCATTTCCCTTCATTTCAATTAGTTTAGCCTTCATATGTTCCTCTAATTTGTGACTAAAATCAACCAGTTCTGTGAGCATCCTGATCACCAGTATTTTGAACTGTGCATCTGAAAGTTTGGCTATTTCTTCATCACTTAGATTTATTTGCTCTGGGGCTCTGAGTTGTTCTTGAGCCATTTTTGGTCTGTTTGCGCCCGCTAAGTATGAGTAGCGGAGCCTTAGTTGTTTACCAGGGTGGGGCCACCCAGGTCGCAGGTTTGTGACGCTATTTTGTGGGGGCGGGGTCAGAGAGGGAGCAACAGTGGTCCTCTCTGCTTGCCCAGTCCGTCCCACCGCTAGCCCCAGTGTGTTTA